ACAACTAGCGGACATTGGAGGTATGAGGCTGGTCAAGTATTGTTTGTAAGCGTCAAGAGACAAGGAAAAAGACTCATGTCTGGCAATGTTAGGGCCGTGTTTGTTTTGTAAACTCCTGGCTGTGTTTTTAAACATAATCTCTATTAACAGCATGTTACTGTAATGACAATCCTTACCATTATCTGGATCTATTTCACTGTGGCAGATAGTCCCAAATCCCTTGAACGCACCAGTGGTAACCATTCATTCAAGCATGTGTCATTATCAATACTCAGTCAAAACAATTAAATATTGTCCATTGAAAACAGTTACAGTATAGCCAGTTGTTCGTCTTGTGGTTCCACAGGGCACCACAGATCGGTGTGCGGAGTTCAGTCACCAGGACGTGAATCCCATATTCCAGTTAAACATAATGAGTTTGTTGATACCATACCCGTGTGTGTGGGTTTCACCACAGTAGTAAACACCTACAACCTTCGCCATGGTATTCCCAGCATCATTAGTGTGTGAGTGAGTTGGGTTCAACGCCGCTTTGAACAGTGTTCCAGTTATAACACGGTTTGTCAGTTTAGTGTTGGAGGAAAGCCAATAGTGATGCAGGTCTCAGAAGTTTGATTTTTTTTCGCGAAAGACACGAACCCGGGTTTTGGTGCTGACAAACCTAGAAACATGATTCCCCAACGTTAAGATGACACACCCCGGTTTATTGTTGGAAGTGCATTAAAGGCTACTCTTTTAAAGATTTACTTTTACCTTCCCTTTGTTTCAGTTAATCTCATCAATCATCTTAAGTCAATGATCATGTGCACTCACGGTACCGGAATTGTTCATATTTCACATATCATTAATTCTACCTAATTGCGCAAAACATGTCACCTGAAAGCGAAATCCACTTTAGTCGCTAATACTGGACTCCGAGAGATGCCACGTCTTCAAAGCCCAGATAGAGTTTCCCGTAATGTGAAACTCAAGCTAAATCACCCATGGGCCAAACTGAGTCTACTATATGGTATTCTATGAAACCTCATCTCTGTAATATTGTCTTTCAAATTAATATTTCCATCAATATTTTACGCTGGTAGTGTCAGATGACAAACAGTGGTGATTAAGCTGACTTAACCGTCGGCCCGATGTACAAGGCGCTGCCACACACTTCGTGTCGACGTCATAATGTCAGACGGGCAGAAGGCGCTCTTACAGACTTGTTGGTGTAGCAATGTAGACGTGTCAGACGGGCAGAAGGCGCTCTTACAGACTTGTATCACTGTAGACGTCATATTGTCAGACGAGCAGAAGGCGCTCTTACAGACTTGTATCACTATGTACGTCATATTGTCAGACGAGCAGAAGGCGCTCTTACATACTTGTAGCACTGTAGACGTCATATTGTCAGACGAGCAGAATGCGCTCTTACAGACTTGTAGCACTGTAGACGTCATATTGTCAGACGAGCAGAAGGCGCTCTTACAGACTTGTATCACTGTGTACGTCATATTGTCAGACGAGCAGAAGGCGCTCTTACAGACTTGTAGCACTGTAGACGTCATATTGTCAGACGGGCAGAAGGCGCTCTTACATACTTGTAGCACTGTAGACGTCATATTGTCAGACAAGCAGAAGGCGCTCTTACAGACTTGTATCACTGTAGACGTCATATTGTCAGACAAGCAGAAGGCGCTCTTACAGACTTGTATCACTGTAGACGTCATATTGTCAGACGGTCAGAAGGCGCTCTTACAGACTTGTATCACTATAGACGTCATATTGTCAGACGGGCAGAAGGCGCTCTTACAGACTTGTAGCACTGTAGACGTCATATTGTCAGACGGGCAGAAGGCGCTCTTACAGACTTGTATCACTATAGACGTCATATTGTCAGGCGAGCAGAAGGCGCTCTTACAGACTTGTAGCACGGTAGACGTCATATTGTCGGACGAGCAGAAGGCGCTCTTACAGACTTGTAGCACGTTAGACGACATATTGTCAGGCGAGCAGAAGGCGCTCTTACAGACTTGTATCACTGTAGACGTCATATTGTCGGACGAGCAGAAGGCGCTCTTACAGACTTGTATCACTATAGACGTCATATTGTCAGACGGGCAGAAGGCGCACTTGCAGACTTGTAGCAATGTAGACGTCATATTGTCAGACGGGCAGAAGGCGCTCTTACAGACTTGTAGCACGGTAGACGACATATTGTCAGGCGAGCAGAAGGCGCTCTTACAGACTTGTATCACTGTAGACGTCATATTGTCGGACGGGCAGAAGGCGCTCTTACAGATTTGTATCACTATAGACGTCATATTGTCAGACGGGCAGAAGGCGCACTTGCAGACTTGTAGCAATGTAGACGTCATATTGTCAGACGAGCAGAAGGCGCTCTTACAGACTTGTAGCAATGTAGACGTCATATTGTCAGACGGGCAGAAGTCGCTCTTACTGATTCGTATCACTGTAGACGTCATATTGTCAGGTTAGCAGAAGGCGCTCTTACAGACTTGTAGCAATGTAGACGTCATATTGTCAGACGGGCAGAAGGCGCTCTTACAGACTTGTAGCACTGTAGACGTCATATTGTCAGACGGGCAGAAGGCGCTCTTACAGACTTGTATCACTGTAGACGTCATATTGTCAGGCGAGCAGAGGGCGCTCTTACAGACTTGGTGTTGCACTGCTGACATCATATTGTCAGACGGGCAGAAGGCGCTCTTACATACTTGTAGCACGTTAGACGACATATTGTCAGGCGAGTAGAAGAGGCTCTTACAGATTTGTATCACTGTAGATGTCATATAGTAAGACGAGCAGAAGGCGCACTTGCAGACTTGTAGCACTGTAGACGTCATATTGTCAGACGGGCAGAAGGCGCTCTTACAGACTTGTAGCACGGTAGACGACATATTGTCAGGCGAGCAGAAGGCGCTCTTACAGACTTGTATCACTGTAGACGTCATATTGTCGGACGGGCAGAAGGCGCTCTTACAGATTTGTATCACGGTAGACGTCATATTGTCAGACGGGCAGAAGGCGCTCTTACAGATTTGTATCACTGTAGACGTCATATCGTCAGACAGGCAGAAGGCGCTATCACAGATTTGTTGGTGTAGCAGTGTAGACGTCATATTGTCAGACGAGTACAAGGTGTTCTCACAGATTCATTGAAGTAGCTCTGTCGACCCTGTGTTCTCGGGCGTTCGTCACGTCCTACAGGAGTCTCTGGTGTCGACTGAACGGATACCATTTCATTTCTGACTCCATGATAACGACGAGCGAAACCCCTGCTGAATTGTGGCTTCAACAGTAACAAGTAATCCCCACATCATATCGGTTGCGTGTGCCCCGATAGTGCACACAGTGTCCTCAAATAAGTCATGTTAAGTAAAGTCGATTGTGTTCTATCTCTTTATTTGCATATGAATGACATTAAATGAAAGTGGTTTGAATCTGGCTGTTTGGGGAAACTACTTATAAAACAATCATTTATAATATAAGTCAGAACTCTTAGTTTGGTAGAACTGCTGGTTACTAATAAGTGGAAGGCAATGTACATGTTGTTTAGTGTCCATGTGCTCATTTGTGTCAGACCGCCTACGTGGCCTAGTGGTAAAGCGTCCGCCCCGGCCGCGTCATACCAAAAGACGTTAACAGATAGTACTTGTTGTTTCCCTGTCTGGCGCTCGGCATTAAGGGGCTAAAACAAGGACTGGTCGGCTTGGAGTCAGTACACTGTATCTGAGTGGGGTATTCATGTTAAACTGCGGCATGGTATCTCAGTGGGCTAGCACTATAAATCGGCATCAGTCCGGACTAGTACAAGCATCCACACACACACTCGTTGCTATAAAAGTGCAATAATCTTGGACGCGACGTTAAACCCCGCCTCGTTTGTGTCATTTATAATATTTTGTTGTTTTATTATTATTTTGCCTTACTTGGATTTTGTTGAGTAGCATCGTTGTCTTTAAATATCTAATTATTATCATCATCATTTCACTTTTCCAGTTGAATAAGTAAGTATGTTTACAGTGGAATAAGTCAGTAGAAATACTCTCACCCGTATTTATTGTTTTTTTAATAAATGTTTTAGACATTCTTGCTCATCATTTCTTGGGTGTAATATCCTCGCTCGTAAAATATTAAAATATGGTGGTTAGTTATAATCGTGCTGTACGGTTAGGGAGTGCAATGGTACGCTTGGTAACACTCCAACAATATCTCAATAAGATAAATGACGACAAGGATTCAAACTCGTTTGTTTGAGGTAATAACAGACCACACGACCTGCATGACTACATTTCGGTTACTCGGCGTTGAAGCAATGGTCTCAAATTGTAACCTCTCTTACAAGGAATGAACCAATCTAGACTGAATAATCTTTGAAAGGCAATTTAACCCACGTCTCAACCATCTCCTAATGAAATTCTTCTTCCCCAAACAAACACATGTTGGTTCGTTATGGCTTGAGTTAGAGACGTCAATACAGGCTGGACGGTGTGGCTTATTTCGTCTGCAAACATCGGCATCCCCATGTTATCGATTCTTACAACACCAAACATATTTGACAATTGTACAATGTAATTACGACGTGACGTTTGACGCAGCCACGCCCAGGCTTCTGACAACCCGTTCCTCAACAAATCACTTTATGTTGCAAATATTTAATATTTAACATCACTGCATCCGAGGGCTCCATTTCTTGACGGTTATCTGAAATTTGAATTTAATTGATGTTACGCTACTATCAGCTGTCCTGCCTGTCTCCCCGCCCCTGTGTGCCTCGCCCCATTCACAACACCCTCCCAACGGGAGGTTCCTTTGTTCTCACCACTGTAAGGCGGCCGACAGGAAAACTTGATTGTATGCAGGTTTCACCAATTTATTGATTAAGATTGTCATCTATAATGACCCATGAACACCCCGAGATCCTTTTGACGCTAACTAGCGACCTCCCTGCATCCCGACCCTGTTGTGTCCACAGCAACAGCACCGCAAGGCAACACAGTCAGTCGCACACGCTCCAAGAACAGAGGCAGCGGGCCGCTTGAGAACATTATTCTGCAACAGTTGTGGCTGCGACGCCTCTTGTACAGTTGCAGTGGTGTTCCTTGCTTGTAGACGCCGATGTTGTACGCTACAGATCTCTGTCTCATCCCGACCACGTGGTTGTTGCATCTCAAGTTTATAGCAAGGGGCGTGGCTAGTGATGCATGAACCGTAACTGCCAATCACTCATCAACCTTTGCTGCGTCAAATCTATCGGTGGTTCGGTGTTGTGTACACTGGGGTGCCGAGCCTGCAGTGAACGACGGATTCTCACAGAGCTTTTACTGTAAACCGTGTGTCCAGTACAGGAAGTACTGGTGGATGTCTACCCCTCATTGTGCAGGTGTCAGGAGTACTCGCACCTGCTGCACGTGTTAGTCACACCTTCGAATGTTCAGGTTGCCGAGTGACAGTTCAAACTGAATCAAGGTAAGTTTGGATATTACTTTTCAACCTTACAGCATCACGTCTCTTTTCTCGACAGTTTTTAAACATGATAGCTGGTCCAATGTTTTCACTTCCACCATTCGTGTTCATGTTTTGTCACGAATCATGTCTTTCATGTGTGGAATGCCATTGTTATTTGCCAAATCGATATTATGATAATTGAATTAGGGGTTATGTCCCCTGGTCATGTTGGTTCAAGTCATGCTCGATAACAACTTGGCTGAACGCTGTGTGTCAAATATCATCAAAATGCTGTCAACATACCTCATAAAGATCCGATAACGAGGGACTTGCATTTTAGAACCAGACACAAAAGTAAGTATGGGTGCTTCGTCCAAGATGAATGCTTATCACCACGTTTGCTATGTGTAACAACATGGGCCTTGTGTCATTCTACTACATCACATTGTGAACTCTATTCCCTTTCCTTATCGCATGCCCGATGTGTTTTTTATAAAGTCTTCAGTTAGTTGATAAAGTGAATCTGGGCGGCAAATGAATCGTCCACCTCGCTGACTTCGCTTGAAAATCAATCTCCTTATTCCATCTGAAGCCCGCTACACCGGCAACTAATTTAGATCTAAAAAGAGTTTTATGAAATCTCTCTGCTCAATGGGGACTTGTTTTTGTAGTTTATTACCCCACTGGGCCAGTGAAATATTTTGTCCTTAAATATTCTGAATCTAGATGATCCATTTAATCATGGTATCAATCTAAATAGAATCGACTTGAAACAGCTTTTCATTTTCGCCAGTTCATGAAGCAAATAGCGACATACGTATTCGTGAAATGGTTTTGTTTTGAAACATCTTACGAATATTTCTTCAATATTGATCCAGACAACTGCTGATAACCGTATGTGCATACACACCATCATCCCCGAACGGGACCTTTTGTGAAGCAAACTTACTAGGCAAATAACATGAATCCGATGACGCAACCCGCGTATTAGCGTTAGCTTAACAAACCTATCCCTCAATACCCATGTTAAAAGGGGTACACGGTTCCATTCAGAGCGTGGATAAAACTTCTTGATAGATGTACTATACATATTCCCATGAAGGTTACATCAATACTACAACAGTTGTATGGCCTACAAAACTAGGCAATTCATGGTTTATATTGATTTCTAAAGCTTAATATACAAAAGGTCCAGTCTTGTAGTACACCTCATGATGATTTATCGACACCATCTGTATCAGTTGATTCAGTGATGTACTGTGTGACTCTCGTTCTCTATTGTCAGGATCTGATTTCACTTTCGCTCCCTGTAACTGCGCATGCTTCTTGTTAACCTTAAACAAAAGAAATATCCGAATAATACGGCTTGATATGTTTAATATGTTAATATTCAGATAATATCTGTGTCATTGTGATATTTCATCCCAATTTAAATGATATATTGATATAGATTTTACCATATAGTGTAACAGCGTTGATGTTATCACAGTCACTATCGCAGCAAAACCTTTTTCTATATAACATGCTATTGTCTGTTACTGGTTACACTTGGTTGTAAAGGGCAGAGAGCAAAACGGTTTCTATGGAACATTTTGTTTCCTGTTACTACTAAGCTTTATGAGTTTATTCAAACCAAGACAGTCCTATTAATCGTCTGAGTGATCCTGAATTATTGATAATGATCACGTTGATGAAAAAGAAGACACGAAACAATAAATTATTTTACTCTGTTTTTTGGGACATCATAATTGCATGATGTATAAAAGCATCCTCTGTCAATCCCGTGTAACTAACATATGGCAGTTCCATGACTCGCTTTATTAACAGCTTGTTTGAATGCTGTACCTCAGTTAATCCCATTCGTTGTGTTGTGTTGAGTGTGTAGGACAACTACCTTCCCTCCATGAGGCCCGTGCTCTAGCTCATAACACACCCAGCAGAAGCGTGGGAATGACATGTTACACTGAAAAGGGATAGTTGCTCACAAGTCTGAGGTTGCAACAAAGAGCCGTATATTGAAGCACGGGGAAAGCCATTAAGCATGAAGGCTGCATGTGTACACATTGTTCCTACATCTGGTTTAATTCAGACGGGAGGCGTACAGTGACAGTGTGCATTATTTAGGAGAAGAAATTGATTTTGGTGTTGACTAATTTGCCAGTGTTTTGGAAACGTAATCGATAAGGGGATCCGCATGCGTCTTACAACTGCTTTTTTCTGCTGAAATTCGTTTTTGAAAAGGGACTGGGAATGGTTAAGAATATTCGTTTCGATCACCGCCTGTTTGCAACTGTGAGTTAAATCTTTAATTTTTTGCGAAGTCCTCAAGGCTTTAAGTGACCTGACAAATACCTTTGTTAAAGTTTCGTGCACTGTGTGACTAATGTTCAAGAATGTTTATATTGGCGGTTAAGCAGATATAAATACCCTGTGTGTAACGAGTCATGACTGCCTAGTGTTAGAGCCGTTGCCCCTTGTGCACTGGAGCAAGTCAGACGCTCGAGTCGCTCGAACCCTTTGCCCTCTCCGCATGTCACCTTTAAAGGCATTGTTCACAATGAAACACACACGTTAACCTGTCGTGAGAAATACGGATTGTTAATTTTCTCTTGAAATGATCCGTATTAGGGGAAGTTTTAAATCTTTGACACTATTAAGATGTCCTACCTCGCCTGTAGTAGGCTTGTTTGCAACCTATTTGTTACTTAATGGCGTTCAACATATTCTTTATGTTACCTCTAACATGACACATACACGCACACAATGCTTCTTCTAAAACGTTACTTCAAACAAAACTGTAATCTGTAGCTATTTGGTGATGAATAACTATTAAGCAATGCTTTAAAGTTTGACCTTTATATTGATGTAGCAGAACGATATAAATACACCAGCACATGCAGATCAAGGCAGATAAACCAGTTTTTCGAACACTACTCTACTACAATACAGTAACGTGTTATTTTCTACGCAGTAAATAGAATAAAACGATAAATGTCATGGCTGTTAACACTCATTTGTGTATGGCCGAACATTACCTTACTGAATTGTTAGTTAAACAATTGGCAAAGACTCAACGTCAATATTTAACCACCATTTTCCTTGATGATAGAACAATTGCACGAAACAGTGTGTCGCCAGTGGGATTGGAACTCGCGATGTCAGCACCGAAGACTTAAGAATGTAGTCTTCAACCACGGCGACATAAATACAATTTTTTGTGGATTAACAACTGAAAATGTGGTTTATGCAGCACCTTATATATTATTCGGTTAATTAAAGGTACTTTGGATTTGGTTGCTTTTCGTTCAAAGAAACGAACAGATGGAAAACAAAATCATACTTATATTGATCAGAGCTATGTTTGCTCATTAAAGGCCAATCAACATTGGCAAGCAGCCTCCAGTTTAATACTCTGGGTGCACAGTACTATATAGTAGGTTGGAGTTTCAAACTCTGGGTGCATAGAACTATATAGTAGGTTGGAGTTTAAAACTCTGGGTGCACAGAACTATATAGAAGGGTTTGGGTTAAACCTCTGGCTACCCAGAACTATATAGTAGTTTGGACTTAAAAACTCTGGCTACACAGAGCTATATAGTAGTTTAGAATTAAAAACTCTGGGTACCCAGAACTATATAGTAGGTTGGAGTTAAAGCATTTGGCTACCCAGAACTATATAGTATTTTAGAATTAAAAACTCTGGGTACCCAGAACTATATAGTAGTTTAGACTTAAAAACTCTGGCTACACAGAACTATATAGTAGTTAAGAATTAAAAACTCTGGCTACACAGAACTATATAGTAGTTAAGAATTAAAAACTCTGGGTACACAGAACTATATAGTAGGTTGGAGTTTAAACTCTGGCTACACAGAACTATATAATGGTTTAGAGTTAAAGCCTCTGGGTACACAGAACTATATAGTAGTTTAGACTTAAAAACTCTGGGTACACAGAGCTATATAGTAGTTTAGAGTTAAAGCATCTGGCTACCCAGAACTATATAGTATTTTAGAATTAAAAACTCTGGGTACCCAGAACTATATAGTAGTTTAGAATTAAAAACTCTGGGTACCCAGAACTATATAGTAGTTTAGAATTAAAAGCCCTGGCTACACAGAACTATATAGTAGTTTAGAATTAAAAACTCTGGCTACACAGAACTCTATCGCAGGTTGGGGTTTAACACTCAGGTTGAAGTTAACTATCAGTTATCTGAGGTGACTTAACTGTTCAACAGTGTGTTAGGAAGGACGTTTCATTCTTCGCCATTTCTAAAATTACCTGGATAAAGTAAGGGAGATATCTTTCAAGGATAGGGCAATAGACATGTTCAGATCAGCATGACTCGATGGATGGTAACATTGGAGCAACACGACATGTGACATTATATGTAAGATTATATTTGCATACATGAACAGCAACGAGGGTCATCTCTACATACAGTAAGGTGAACAGGTCTACTGTATATTTGCATTCAAGCATAGCGCTTTTTACCAGTTCTACTCGTCACTCACTTCTGTCCAATAGATTCCCATATACAAAGCCATGTTAATACAGGAATGTAAGGGTGGACGGCACGAAGGTCCCGGGTGTTAGATTCCGTGATGAAGAATCATGAGAATCCGTTGATTCCGGAAGCAATGGATTCGATTGATTTCTCCGACTTAAAACAGGTTATGTTTTTTTAAATAATTTCTATATAATTTAATGACCTACAGTTGCGTCAGTTTCTTCTTAAAAATCAGAATGGACAATCAAATCCTGGTTCAGAATCAACTGCAACAACACTAGCGTGACGCTATTATAATCACTTCATCAGAGTATGCAATGTCTGAATCTTAGTGACTGATATATGTCTCAGATATACTGATTTCCTCATGAGGAGACAAATGGAAAGGTTTCTTACCAGCCCAGAAAGGCAGGACGAACGAGCAGAGCCATGATCTCAGGTTGTTTGTTTGTTGTTTAACGCCGCACTCAGCAATATTACAGCTATGTGACGGCGGTCTGTAAATAAT